GCCCGGGAGGCTCCCGCCGCCGCCGCCCGCGCGGGAGGGGGAGGGGTGCACCGGGCAGGACGGCGGGCCCTGGACCTCTTCGCCATCCGTCCTCACCTTGCTGCCCCCTTCGTGTCCCTAGGCCTGAGGTCGTCTCCCGAGCCCTGCGCCATGCCGAGGGAGAGGAGGGAGAGGTGAGTGGCCCGGGTCGCTGCGGGGAAGGAAAGGGTTGCTGTGGTGGGGGAGGGGCGGGCCGAGATTTAGGGAGCGCTCACCCCTGCCTGGGTGCCACCTGGGTTTTGCAGGGATGCTAAGGAACCGGACACTATGAAAGAAGAAGGTGGCATAGATTTCTCCGTTCGATCCAGGAAAAGGAAAGCAAATGTGGCCGTTGTGAGTACAAAGGAGACAGGTTGTGGAGAACCACCTTCCCCCCCATTTACCTGGGTACCAGACTTGGCTGTGCCCACGTAGTGACTGATTAGGGGTTAGTGGGGGGGAGTCCCTTTGGCAGAAATAGTGCTCATAATCTAATCAACTTTCTTTCTCCTCTCTCTCTCTCTCTCTCTGCTTTTGTCTCGGATTGTTTCCTTGGGGGTGGGGGCTGTTTTATGTTAGTTTTTGCAGGATCCAGATGAAGAAATTGCCAAAATCGACCGGACTGCGAGAGGCCAGTGTGGTGGTCAGGTAGGTATACTTGCCGATTGGGCCTCCATGGAGGGCCTCTTGTCCTCTGGGATCAAATTGGGTCTCATACTTGCTTGTCTCCTGCCTAAGATACTGTAGTTAGAGTTAGTTTCTGTAAGAATAGCCACCTCCATGCATGGCCGAGCACTCTGCCTTGTCAGCTGGGCACCAGCCTCTGCCGGCCTTGAGATTCCAAAATGGTCTTGTGTTCCCCACCGGCACTGTCTGACATTACAGATATGTGCTGATGGCTGGAAGAACTAGAAATTAATCAGGCAACTCAGTCTCTACTCCTTTCACTCAAGGAAACTGAGATGCAGGGGAAGAAGGTTGGTTGCTCAGTGTCCTGTGCAAGCTAGGGCCAGTGTTGGCCCCACAGCCTGGTCCCTAAAGGCCAATAATAGCGAGGTTCCCTGTGATGACTTCTCTCTCAGCCACATCTTTGTTTTTGTGTCATGGTGCTTAAGGACCTCCTCCTGTCCCCTTTAGATCAGGTTTCAAACTTTTACCTCCTTTCTGGCCTTGGAAGTTCTTCCTGCGTATCCAGCAATTACCTTTGTTGATCACTGCTGAGTGGGGCTCAACCTGGCCTCAGCAAGAATATTAGTGGAACATTCTATATAATGATATGTGTTTTACACCATATTGTTTTATTGACGATTCTAGTTTTCTTGCCCCTCCTTATGGACTTCCTGCCAAGTTTCCTGCATGCAGTGTGATATCATTACAATATCAGAAGTTCCTTGCAGAAAATGCTTGTATTATCTCTTTACCCCCAGAAATGGCTGGAGCCTGTAGTTATGGCTCCAGCAGGGGGGAGCAGCCTCTCTCCTGCCAAGTTTCCTGCATGCAGTGTGATATCATTACAATATCAGAAGTTCCTTGCAGAAAATGCTTGTATTATCTCTTTACCCCCAGAAATGGCTGGAGCCTGTAGTTATGGCTCCAGCAGGGGGAAGCAGCCTATCTCCGAACTAGCTGGTCAGACCATCTGACTCTGTCGCAGATAAAAGCTGAACAGGAATCGCAGTCTACCTGAGTGCAGGGGTCCCAGCTAGGTTCACAGTGGATAGCATATCCCTTTGTAGAGCAAAGACGAAGGGCCATGGTAGCTGGTCTCAAAGGATAAACAGCTTCAAAGCAATAGGTCGCTGTTTGCATTTGCAGTTGTCACTGCATATAATATCCTCGTGATAAGCTTTTTTGAACACAAAAATGATTTCGAAGTAAGAGAAGTAATATCGCACATTCCAAGTTATTCTCTTTTGTTCCCTTGGGAAAAAATAAATAAAACCTTCAAATCAAGCAAGTTGATTTTGTGGGTATTATAAAATGAACCCCTGCTTTATGAAATTCAGGAATGTTTACTTTCCTAGTTTTTGTCTGTCTCTGCTTTTTAAAAAATTGCCACAAGGTGCATGCAGTCACCAGAGAGAGACAGACAGGGAGGAGAAAGTATCCCCCAGAGGGTATGGGGGGGACTTTGAAGTCCCTTTCCATTTCTCCATTCAGTAAGGATTTGGGCCATGCATACACACAAGCACCAGGAGTGTTCAGTCCACCAGGGCTGGGATTCGAACCAAAGTTGGCCACGTGATATCCAGCACACTTAACTCCTAGGGTATAGGGCTGGCCTCCTACTTGTGTTTGAATAGAAATTTCTACCAAATATGAAGCAAAGCCATCCATACTGACTTCTCAGAGTTTTAGAGTTGTTTCTGTTGTCAAAAGATAACCCGAATAGTGCCTGGGATGCCGAAGATGGCTGGGGCTCTCTCCTGGACCATAGAGAACTGGTAGCTGGGGTAAATGAATAGCTGTCATTTCCCACTAGATAGCATTTTCATGGCTGTCCCAGATTAATGGCAGGTTTCAGCACATGAGTAGATAGCTTTAAAGTCACTCAACTGTTTATGGAGTAATATCTTTGTTACTTCTCTGTAAAGAATCAGGAAGCTTGAATTTTGGGCTACAGCAGAACCTTTTGGCCTCTTTAATTATACAGAATTTCTCTGGAGTTTTTATAGTCCAACCCAGTATGGTGCAACTGCTTCATTAAGACCACAGTGAGCCTTTGATGATTCTTATCTTAAGCTGTTCTGGATTTTTCTTTTTTTGAGAGATAGATTTTTGCTATAGGGTACATGTGCTTGCTGGAGAGAGAGTAAAAGATAAATCACCCTGCGGGGGGGCGGGGGAATGGCCATGCCTTAATCCTCTCTCCATTCTCTTGGGATTTGGGGCATGCACACACATGTGCCTGGTGTGAATTTCAAGCTTCTGGGCCTGGGACTTGAACCATGGTCGGCCATGTAGGAGTCCAGTGCCTAAACTATTCCACTATACCACCTGCTAGCTTCAATGTTAGACTGTTCTTAATGAAAAGAACATCATTATATCTAAAACCTACTTAAGATGTCTGTTTTGTTGTTTTGTTCTGCATGAGACCCAAATTTTTTATGGAAGTAGAATCCTACACTATTAATTATTTCTCAGAAAATAATTATGCATAAGGAAACAAATAAGCATAAGGAATCAGGTGGTTAGAAATAGTCATGATTGGGGATCAGCAGGTGGCATGGTGGTTAAAAGTGCTGGGCTCCCACATGGCTGACCGCGGTTTGAGTCCTGGGCCTGGTAGCTTGCTTTTTCACTTAACCTTGTGTGCTCTCTCTCTCTCTCTCTCACTATGTCCCTATATGGTCAAATTAAAATAAATAACTAAAGTTAAATAGAATAATTCTTTAAAAAAAAAAAAGAAAGAAAAAAAAGAAATAGTCACGATTTCTCTTTTTTTTTTTGAGAGTTTTTTGGCTTTTTTTTTTTTTTTGCTATAGGGCATGTGTGCTCGCCAGAAAGAGACAGAAAGCAAGAAATCACCCCCCAGGGGGATGGTCATGCTAGAATCCCTTCTCGGGATCTTGGACAGGCATGCACATGCGCCTGGTGTGAGTTTAAGCCACCTGGTCTGGGACTCGAACTGCAGTCAGTTATGTGGGAGTCCAGCAACATAACCGTTATGCCAACTACTAGTCCCAACACAATTGGTTTCTTGATGTTATCCCATTCCTTCCAAAATAGAGTCAGACTAATCTTGCTTCCTTTGAAAATGAATATACATTCGAGTTAAAGGACAGAGCCTTTACTACTGTGCCTCATCTACTAGTTCCCGAAAAGGGCAACTTGGAATTATTTGTCTGCTGTGGTTCACCTAATTTGTCTAAACTGTAGGTTGGGAACTGTTACCAGTTTTCCTCCAAAAGGCCTCTCAGATGTGCCAGCCATCTGGCCATAGCGGGTGACACCCAGCTTGCACCTTCAAAACTAGAGTTATTTTTCTTGAATGAAGAAAAGTCTAGAGTAGTTGTAATGTGGCCCTTTTTGAGTCAAGGAAATGCTCTCAGCATATGCTACTGGAACTGAAAGGAAGTTGCCTTTCTCACACAGCTGTTGGCAGGAGCTGTCCTGGATAATTTGCATGTCCAATTTTTTGTACATGGGTGGAGAAGAATTTTGACCAGCTTTGCCCTTCTCACTAGACCGAAAGCGCTTGAGCTTCTCTGAGGTGTTGTGTGGGCTGTGGTAGCTGCTTTATACCATGGCTTTGAGGCAGCACTTAGAGACTGAGTTTCCATGTTCATTTAGAGTCTCACTTTTCTATGTTGTTCCCTGGTTAGCATTAATGCTCTCTGCTTCGGAAAAAAAAAGCCAAGGGTGGGGTCAGCAGGTGGCATGGTGCCTAAGGCCCAAGGCAGCTGGATCCCACAAGGCCGACTACACGGTTTGAGTCTCAAGATAGACCTGGCACCTTGAAAAACACTCTAGGTGTTTGTGCATGCATGCCCAAAATCCCAAGAGGAGGATAGAGGAGGAGAGATTGCAGCATGGCTTTCTCACTTTCCCTCCCTCTTGTCTCCTGCAAATGCACATGCCCTCTAGAAAAAGTTAAAAAAATGAAAAAGCCAGGCATCTCAGACAGGGCTTCCATACCAGCAAGATTGTTACTTACTTTATATCTTTAGTAAAGTCACTATTTAATAACTAGAACTCAAACATAGGCTTTTAGAGTTAGATGATAAGCAGAGGGGCTTTTAAAATACATTTTTTGTTCGAGAGAGGGTTTTGCTCTAGGGCACATCAGCTCTCTGGAGAGACAGAAAAAGTGAGAAATCACTCCCCCCCCAGGGGGATGGCCATGCTGCAGTCCCTTCTCCATTCTCCTCTTGGGATTTGGGGCACACTTGCACACACACCCAGCATGAGTTTCAAGCCTCAAGGTCCAGGACTTGAACTGTGGTTGACTATGTGGGAGCCCAGAGACTTAACCACTGTGCCACCTGCTGGTCCCTAAAAGAAATTTTCTAAGTTTTCTAAATGACGAAATGACCTTAGTCTTTCCCCTAATACTGAAAATGAAATAAAATCAAGTGTCTGCAATCAGCAAAAGTAAAAGGCATGTTGTTTTGGTTTTTAATGGTAGTCATTCATTTATTACTCTGCAGGGCTTTGGGAGTGGGACTCAGAGGTCTTTTGGAGTGTCTAGGCTCTATCTCCTTAGGCTTCTTACTGTGACTATTGCTTGATTTGATTTTAACTAGGTGGATGTTCTTTTGTTTTGAGTTAAGGAGAACAAAAGGTCCCCCTTGTAATATATTTGGCTAGTCTTGTAACTAAAGGAAGATGTCACATTTGATGGATTTTTGTTTTACAATAAGCGGACTTTAATAAAGATGCCAATTTACATTTTCTTGATCTTTTGTATTTGTGAATGTTGCATGCCTAAATAAATATTTTTATTGGGAACTCTTTATTTCACTTTTAAGACATGTTAGTGGATTCATTGCACAATATATGTATTTTAAAATGTCTTACCTCTCATGTCCATTTTGCTGTTCAGGATTTCAGGATTTCATATGAGGGTGAGGATGTGGAGGATAAAATGCTACTGATTTTCTGGCCTACCTTTATTTACTTCATACATTCCCAAGCTAATGACAAAAAATGAAAGCTTGGAATCATTATTGTGGCTTTTACCTATCTGTGCTATCTTCCGCTTAAGTTGGACCAGAATATTTAGGCCTAGAAGCTTACTCTCCTTGTGAAGCTACTTTGCAAAGTACTGGCTCATCTTCAAATGTGTGAATATAAAAATAGCTGGTTTCTTTCAAACATTTTAAAATGTGTTTCTCTCTTACAGCCTTGGGACAATAATCCAGTCTGTGAAAACCCCTGCTCCTTGATCCCCACACCGGACAAAGAAGAAGATGAGCTGGTATACCCGAATTCTATGTGCAGGCCGCAGAATTTTACACCATCCAGAGCCTCACCCCTGCCTGTACTGAAGTAAGTGTGACCTCTGTTCTATGACTTCCAGATTCTTAACTCCATAATTTCCCTTAGTCCTCACGAATGTGGGTGCATACTGACACCTGTGTGGGTTTTATTTATCTATTTTTTTATTTTTTTTTTAAGCTGGGCAAATCGAGAAGAGGTTTGGAAAATCATGCTAAACAAGGAAAAGACGTACTTAAGAGATAAGCACTTTATGCAGCGGCACCCTCTTCTGCAGCCTAAAATGAGAGCAATTCTTCTGGACTGGTTGATGGAGGTGAGGCTTCTTTGGAAGCATTGGCCATTCTAGATTCTCACATGTTGTTACCATCTCTTCCTGTGTTTCATGCCATTGATGCTTTCTCTGTCTCTGAAGCTGTATGGTATATTTACTGCAATGGCCTTTCTAACTTTTTTGCTTGTATTTTGTTTTTTCCCTGTAAAAGGAGGCAAGGAGGAAAAGACAGGTTGATATTTTGACAGGGCTTCAGGGTGTCATGATCCTCTTGCCTCACCCTTCCAGTTAGCTAGGAGTATAGGTATGCACAACCTCACCTGGTATGTTCAGGTTGACCCCAAAATTGACCTTGCTGTCTCAGGTTCGTACCTCTCTAGTAGGAGGGCCTGGGCCTTTGGCTTGCATTCTTTTTCATTACATTCTTTATATTCTGGCCAGAGGGCATGTGTGCTCACCAGAGAGAGGGGAGAGGGCGAAAGCTTTCCCCCACAGTGCGTGGTAATGTCGCAGTTTCTTCTCCATTTCTCCATCCTGGCAAGATTTGGGGCACACATGCAAAAGCACCTGGTATGTTTTTCAGGCCTGTGGGCTAGAACAAACTGGTCAGCTGTGTGGGATCCAGCTCTCCTAAATACTGGGCTATGGGTCCAGTCCTTGCTTAGATTCTTTTTTTTTTGGAGAGATTTTCACTGTAGGGCACGTGCGCTCGCCAGACAGACAGAGAGAGACATAGAGACAGAAAGCGAGAAATCACCCCCCAGGGGGGATGGTCACGCCGCAATCCCTTCTCCTCCATTCTCCTCTCGGGATCTTGGGCACGCACGCACACGCACCCGGCATGAGTTTTAAGCCACCGGGTCCGGGACACGAACCGCGGTCAACTACGTGGGAGTCCAGCGACATAGCCATTACGCTAACTGCTGGTTCCCCTTGCTTAGATTCTTAAAAAGTTTTTTTTTAAAATAATTCTACTTAGACATTTTAAAGTCATCCTCTGTTGGGTTGTCGGAAAAGTTGTGATGTATTTTTCTGGTTTTTTTACACAAAGATGCATCATGACTTTTCTGACAAACTAATAACTTTTTTCATTAAAGTTGAAGTAGTTGTAAAAGTTATATTATTCAATAAATTGTAAATATTGATATTTGGGGACCAGCAGACGGTGTAATGGATTTCCATATGGTCGACTTCAAGTCTGGGACCCGGCGGCTTAAAACTCAGGCTGTGTGTAAGTGAGTGCGTGCCCAAGATCCCAAGAGGAGAAGGGATTGCAGTGTGGCCACCCCCCAAGGGGGTGATTTCTCAATTTCTGTCTCTCTGCCTCTCTCTGTCTTTCTGGTGAGCACATACACTCTGTAGCAATAAAACCTCTCAAAAAAAAATATGTATATATTGTTCAGGGGCCAGGTCGTGGGGTTGTAGTTAATGTGCCAGACTCCCACATGGTCGACCACAGTTTGAGTCCCAGACTCAGTAGCTTGAAAATCACACTAGACATGGGACCAGCAGTTAGCGTAATGGCTATGTCGCTGGACTCCCACGTAGTCGACCGTGGTTCACGTCTCGGACCCAGTGGCTTAAACTCATGCTGGGCACGTGTGTGTGCATGCCCAAGATCCCGAGAGGAGAATGGAGGAGAAGGGATTGCGGCGTGGCCATCCTCCCTGGGGGGTGATTTCTCTCTTCTCTGTCTGTCTCTCTCTGTCTCTCTGGTGAGCGCATGCACCCTATAGCAAAAACCTCCCCCCACCCCAAAAAAAAAAAAAATCACACCGGGCATGTGTGTGTGCCCAAAATCCCAAGAGAATGGAAGAGAAGGAATTGTGGCGTGGCCATCCCTTCTGGGGGCTGATTTCTCTCTTACCCTCTCTCTGTATCTCTTTGTCATTCTCCTCCTTTGGTTAAATTTCAGACCTTTTATTGATCACACTGTCATACTTTATTGCAATTGATAAAAAGAACAAGTATTAGAAATTTGCATAGATAATTGTTAAACGTAAAGTTGCAGTTTGGTTGGTAGTACCTCTGTGGTGACTTCTGATGCCTCGATTAAGGCAGGCTTCCTGGATAACTTTATAGGATTTGAGAATGAGGTTTTCTTCTGTGAACTGGAAGGACATCTCAGGCAGATCTGTTTTCTACAAAAATACATGTGAAGGAGAGTGTCTACTCCCTGAGAAGGAGCAGTGCTGTGGACTCGTCGGAAAGCCCTTGGTCCCAGCTGTAGATGTGCCCAGCTGTGCTAGTGCTAGCTTCAGATCCCCTGCTGCCCCCTCAGTCTGTGTGCCCTGGTCAGGCAAGTCAGTCAACTTTGAGTCTCAGCTTTCTTGTCTAAGCAATATTTTTCTTGTAGGATAGACACGGATTAGAAATGGTGTATATGAAGATTTTATCATTCTTAATTTGTGTTTCTTCATTGAGCCCTGATGGTGACAATATTTTCTGTACTGAATTATTTGAAGCACTAGATGTAATTTTTTTTTATATATATAAGATTCTTTTAAATAATTATTTTATTTAACTTTATTTTTAATTTGAGCAGAGAAGGACAGAGTGAGATGGGGAGAGTAAGAAAGCAAGCCGTCAAGTCCAGGACTCGAACCATGGTCGGCCATGTGGGAGTCCAGCACCCCCAATCACCATGCCACCCGCTGGCCCCTAGATGTAATATGTTTTAATCTCTCAGGCATCAACTCATTCTTATAAAAATGTTGTGACTGAGAGGTCCTATTTTCTGTAATGCAATTGATGCCATCGAAGGAATGCTTTTATAACTAGCTGAATATGATTTAACCTTGACTTTAGAAATAGTTTTTGGTGACTGGTAGAATTTTCTAGCAATATTCTGTGTGTTGTTTCACTGACTCCTTTTCGGAGAGGTTTTTGTTTTGTTTTGTTTTGTTTTGTTATAGGGTGCATGTGCTCGCCAGACAGAGACAGAGAGACAGAAAGTGAGAAATCACCCCCCAGGGGGATGGCCACGCCTCAGTCCCTTCTCCTCCGTTTTCCTCGGGATCTTGGGCACGCATGCACATGCGCCCAGTGTGTTTTAAGCCACCGGGTCCTGGACGTGAACCACAGTCAACTACGTAGGAGTCCAGCGACATAGCCATTATGCTAACTGCTGGTCCCGCTGACTCCTTTTATACATATTAACCCCATGAATTGCTTATGAGATACCCTGTTTAGGAGTGGCAGTGTTGGTGTTAAAGTTTTATATGCTTAATCACACAGTTGATGATGGTGATGAGTTGAGATCTCATATTTTTTCAGACCTCTTCAACCCCATCATGTACATTATTTTACCAGATTCTCAAAGCAATAAATTGTAAATATTGATATTTGGGGACCAGCAGACGGTGTAATGGTAGTCAAGGCAGGTATTATCCTAATTTTATAGTTGGAGATACCTGAAAGAAAAAATGAGTTTATCCATGTTAAAACATAAACTAGGAGAAAATTCATTTTCTTTTTTCCATGAAAATGCAGCCTTCACCAGGCTGTGAATGGATCTTCTTTCCCTGGCCTATGAACATTTGCTCTTACTATTTTATAGATCCCAGAACACCTAATCCTTATATTGGAGTTAGTTTTTCATTGCATATGCTATTAGGGACAAGTAAAGTAAGCTGTCATCTTTTCAGAAAAGCAATCTCTTATCATTTTTTGATTATGTCATCCATCACCAAAACTCATGATGATTTTTTTTTTCCTCTCAAGTAACCATTTTAAAACTTACTGTTTTTTCAGGTGTGCGAAGTCTATAAACTTCACAGGGAGACGTTTTACTTGGCACAGGATTTCTTTGATCGGTATATGGCAACCCAAGATAATGTTGTCAAAACACTTCTCCAGCTTATTGGGATTTCATCTTTATTTATTGCTGCCAAACTTGAGGTAAATAATGTTTGGTTATTTGTTATAATAGATGCTGTTTTTCTATTAAGGGAATAAGAGATTAAGGGAAAAGTCTGACTATTTGTCTATTATACATATCCTAAATTTTTCTAATCTGAGGCCTTCTAGTAAAAGTACATGCAAAACAGGCTGAAAACTAACCAAGAAGAGAAAGGAAAAGTAACTAATTATAGAACATTTAATGTTTTGGGTCATCTGAAAAGTCATGGCATATTTTTCTTGTTTTTCCATGCAGAAATGCATCATGACTTTACCAACAACCAAATAGTTACATTAAGCATAAAAAGTAAAGGTTAAAATTTTGGTGTGAGGGACCAGCAGGTGGCATAGTGGTTACATTGCTGCGCTCCGACAAGGCTGACTGTGGTTCAAGTCTTGGATCTGGTGGCTTGAAACTCATGCCAGGTGCATGTGCGTGCATCCCCAAACCCCAGAAAATGGAGGAGGAGAGATTGTGTCATGGCATCCCCCGGGGACGGGGGAGAAGGGGATGATCTCTTGCTTTCTGTCTGTCTCTCTCCGGCGAACATATGTGCCCTGGGGCAAAATATATATATATATTGAAAAGGTAAATTTTTAAAAATGCTCACAATAAGTACAAGTTACTTCTAGTCGTTCATTCATTTGGTGGGGATAGAAGTTTTCTTTCTTTTTTTTTTTTAGAGGTTTTTGCTACAGGGTGCATGCGCTCGCCAGACAGAGACAGAGAGATGGAAAGCAAGAAATCATCCCCCAGGGGGGATGGCCACGCCACGATCCCTTCTCCTCCATTCTCCTCTTGGGATCTTGGGCACGCACACACACGCGCCCGGCGTGAGTTTTAAGCCACTGGGTCTAGGACTTGAACCGCGGTCGACTACATGGGAGTCCAGCGACATAACCATTTTGCTAACTGCTGGTCCCACAGGTTTTATTTCTTTTCAACCAGCACATTTTGAACTGATGGGGTAACACCTGTATTTATCCCATTAACTTGCGCTCTTTACAGGCTGGAGTGCTAAAAAGAGTAATTTGGGATGCACGTTATAAATTGAAACTGTTAGAGATTTCTTTTTTGCTAATAGTCTCCTTTTATTTTATTTTAGGAAATCTATCCCCCAAAGTTGCATCAGTTTGCTTATGTTACAGATGGCGCTTGTTCAGGAGATGAAATTCTCACCATGGAATTAATGATCATGAAGGTAGGTTACAAGTTGATTGTTCAGTCCTTTTTAAAATGCATACATTATATCTTTTCCGTATGAAATGGGGGTACATCTGGGAGTTGTTCTCCAGTTTGACACATTGTGACAACCTGGCTGCATTATTTTCTTTTCCCAACTGTTGATCCCTTTTCTCTGTTTTCCTTTAGGCCCTCAATTGGCGTTTAAGTCCTCTGACCATTGTGTCCTGGCTGAATGTGTACATGCAGGTTGCCTATCTAAATGACATATATGAAGTGCTACTGCCACAGTATCCCCAGCAAATCTTCATCCAGATTGCAGAGGTGAGTGGCTCCTTCACTTCCATGGGGTTCCCCGCTGGCAGCTAGAGTGAGTAGCTACAGGAATGACGTGTGCTGGCCATCTGCTCAAGTATTCTTTCTTTTCTGTAGCTTTTAGATCTCTGTGTCCTGGATATTGGCTGCTCAGAGTTTCCTTATGGTATACTTGCTGCTTCTGCCTTGTATCATTTCTCTTCATCTGAATTGATGCAAAAGGTTTCAGGTATGTTGGCTGTTCAGAGAGTTCACAAACAAGGTGCATTAAATTGACAAACCGATCATCAGCCTCAGGTTGAGCCTAAAATATATTTTCATTGCAGGGTATCAGTGGTGTGAGATAGAGCAGTGTGTCAAGTGGATGGTTCCATTTGCCATGGTCATAAGGGAGACAGGAAGTTCAAAACTGAAGCACTTCCGGGGGGTTCCTGCTGAAGACGCACACAACATACAGACCCATTTAAACAGCTTGGATTTGCTGGTCAGTACTGTTTCATGTTTCGATCCTTATTGCCCAAACACATTCTTAGAACTGCCTGAGTAGCTTGTTCACTTGTTTTTTCCCCAGACAGGCTCTAGGTATCCTAGAAAAAAACAATTGTTTTCATTCTAATTCTGACCCATAGATGCTGTGTCTCAGTATCATGGACCAGAGACTTAGAAGGTTCTATGCTATTTTCTTCCCCTCACTCACCTCCCTGGAAAAAGCATACAGTATATGAAATCCTAAGGATATGTTCTTCTTTTACACTTCCTCCTTTTCTTTTTATTGACAGGACAAAGCCCAAGCAAAGAAAGCCATATTATCCGAACAAAATAGGATTTCTCCTCTGCCCAGCGGGGTCCTCACGCCCCCACAAAGCAGTAAGAAGCAGAACGGAGGGCAGGGAATGGCATGACCACACCAGCATTCTCCACCAAAGACAGTCATGTGGAAGTGCCTGCTCAATGTTCTCTTCTGTCTGCTGCAGGAGATATACATTAGCTTTTACAGATATTTAAATGGAGGAGTGTGTCTCTTTCGCAACAGAAGTGTTTCTGTGGATGGCATTGGACAGGGAGAAGTGTTTTTTATTGAATGCTTAGATTTTTTTTTTAATAAGTGGGTCAAGTACACCAGCCACCTCCCGAACACCAATGAGTGCTCCAGATGCTGCTAAGGAGGGTGATACTTGACTTGATTGACTATTCACACAAATAACAAAAGCTTGAAGTGAGGAGTGCCACTGGTGCTATTGGTCTCCCCTCGGGTGTTCTGGGTGGCGTCGTGTTAAGTGGAACAGGTGGTCGTGAGCAAGCATTGTGTTGCGGAGCCCACCGCCAGCTGGGCTAGGACCTGCCCTTTTCACACTATCAGTTGACAATGTACAATGCCTTTAATGAACTCTTGTTTTCTAAGTGCTGCTATGTCTGTCCGTTTTTTAATAAAGATAACTGTCTTTGAGACAGCTGGGTTTATGAGCTATGTCTGGTAATTTAAGGTAGAAGTCAGCTTTCAGCGTGGCTATGTCAAGTTCTCTCTTTTGACCTCATGATTATTGAAGCTCAGGTCTTTTAAGCCAATATATTGATAAGAAGACTTTGGAAGTGAGCTTCCGGTGCAGCCCTGTCTTCCTCCTGAGGCCCCTGAGCTAGGAGTGAAGCTTCAATGTGATGTATCTCCGATAAAGCCTGGCACAAGTAGCTGTTCATGGTGGGTTCATTGGCCATTGAGAGCATGAGTGGTGAAGTATTTCCACACCTCAGACAGTTCTGTAAAACTCCTTCCCTAGGATTGGTTAAAGGTCATAGAGAATCTATAATTAGCATTATTTCATACTCTTTAAACTCATACTCAAATGTTAACCTAAAGAGTAAATGAATTTTGTTTGGAGAACTTGTTAACATAGTAGCCTAAAACTGCTTTTAAGGAGAAAAATGCAAAGAGAAATTATACATAGCTCAAGGCCGTGATGTCAGTGCACAGTCTGTCCCTTGACCATTGTTGGAATCACCAAGTGCCTTGCTGATGGTCACTGTCCACTTGAAGTTCTACTGTGTACAGCTTGCATTGCCTATTGTTGAACATTCTCAAAATGGCAGTCTTTGTCGAGTCTCGTGTTTCACTTTCTAACAATGTTTTGGTGTGTGTGTTGATGCATAAGAGGGAGGGTGAATGAGCAAATAAATTCCACTTGTTTTCAACTTGGTATTTTATGTCATTTTGCAAAAATCTGTCTAAAACAAAAGGCCATTTTAAGTATGTACCATATTTATATGAAATTGAAGAGAAAACCCTACCTTTAGACACTGATGTAGTTTTGACAAGTTTTAATATCGTTTTCCTAATAAATGTGCTATAAGCCTACATGTATTGGTATTTAGTCAAATGATACAACTTCCCACTAGTTTTCCCCTCATCTCCGGCAGAGCTGCTCTTCCCCCGAAGAGCAGTGAGTTTTTAATGGCGATCATTTGTAAGTGACTTGTTGGCAAAACCCTAAAGTGGTTCATTTACATTTGGTGTTTTCTATGCAAAAATATATCACTGAAAGCATTCCCGTTTCCTAAATTTTATTATAAATTTGAGAGCTTGACAAATGTGAGGTAACACCGACTTTGAAAACATTTGAGGTAAATATTAATTTGCAGATCGTTTGGCAAGCTATTTTTTAATCACGGATTTTGCAACTATGCTGAGTTAAGAATGCCTTATATGTATTGGGCCAAGTCACGACACACATTTTTGCATAGTAAAACATAAAAGAATACATCATGACTTTCCCGACAACCTAATAAATTGTTGGGATGCCACATTTCTAGAAATCAAGATTCTTTTAAATGGCAGCTTTTTATCATTTGCAGTGAGTCCTGGATGAGAAAATGAAACCCAGTGATAATCATTGCTGTGACTGTCAGAAATCCTAAGCTGCTAGTAAGTCACCATCGTTTCCCTTCTTAGGGGACCTTTTCCATTTACTAGTCTCCAGATTGTAGCTAACTGGCCTCACTGGTTAGCCCCATCTGTCCATGTGCCAAGTCATTTTTATTTGGCCATTCAGCTAAAACCAGTAGAGGTCAGGTGATGCTACAGCAGACATCGGGGCGGGGTGGGGGGGATGCCAGCATGGTCAGCCTGGCTGGATGACTAAATGCTCTGAGGCCAAATGGGGCAGGGGAAGGAAGGACCAGAGAAGAGGTGGTATGAGCCCCTCAATTTAACTTTCTCGTGTTAGAGATAGAGAAACTAACCCATCCCCATGCCTGGAGATTGGGTCATGGTAGAACAACTTATCCTCATCCTACCCCAGCTCACATTTCCCTCCCTAGATCTCACTGGAGTTGTGATTGTTACTCAGCCCATTGTGCAGAAGAAAGAAAATACTGGCCTTTAGGTGAGGGACGTCGAAGGTTTTCCAGTGCCATCTTCCCTGTGTGGAACTTGAGCAGCTTATGTTGCACGGAGGTCAATTCCTACTAAGTGGATAATAAATGATGCTGAGGTTCACATTGATGTGAAGTTCCTGAGGGAAGTGAGTCTGTGGGACCCTTTAGGATTTGGAATATAGTATCTGATACACTTCTGTCTTCTTACGCAGACGCAAATGAGATTGGAGTTTTATTTGGACAAAATTGGGCTCTAGCTCAGAGCAAGGATGGAAAGAGAAATCAAATCTGATAATGTCTAGTCATATTTACCCAACCGTGTATTTTCCTACCACATGTTCAACATTTTGAAATTCAAATCACATTTATACCTTGGACATTGTTAGAAGACTATTTTTATCCCTGCTGTAATCATCTAATTTGCTGATTACAGGTCTCAAATTGCCACAGAGAACTCAATTTTTGAAAGAATTGTCCTGTTTGATCAAATATGTTATTCAAGCAATGCAGTCATTTGTTCCACAAGGTTACCTGCCAGGCAGAGTTAACCAGGAGTAATAGCATTAGAAGCCTATACTTAAAATCAAGCATTAGCTAATCTGCCTGTGACAATAGAGTCTTAAATATAATTTGCTGCAGCTACTTCAGTTCCTGCAATGACAGACAATTGCATTTTGTATTCAATGAGCATAGATTTTTTTTTCTTACCTCATCCCAATTCCAAATTTAACTCCAGAAGACGCTAATGTGCTCAGTTTCACAGGTGTACAAGGTACTATTTCCCAGGAGTTTCAGATGGGAGGGCAATGCTATCCCTTATTAAAGAAACACACCCCTCCCCTTTTAAATCTTTTTCCTCATCAATACCAGTTCCAAACATCGTGTAGCATCTGAGCGTGCAGTGAGGCTCCAGTTCAATGTGAGGTGCCCCCCCTAGGGAGCCCCTAGCTGTTTGCTGAGCAGTACCAGTGTTGGAAACAGGCACAGGAGTGCAGGTGAGCTTGCAAGGCAGGTAAACAATGAACTCTGAAAGGGCAGTGTGTGAAAAAGCACTTCCCGTGGCCTAGCAGGTAGCATAGTGGTTAAAGCACCGGACACCCACATGGTGGATTATGGTTTGAGTACCAGACCTAGCAGCTTGAAACTCATGCCAGACATGTGCCCAAAATCCTGAGAGGAGAATGGAAGAGGATGGATTGCAGCATGGCCATCCCTCAAAGAGGATGATTTCTCACTTTCTCTTTCTTTGTGTCTCCGGCAAGTGCGCATGCCTATAGCAAAAATTTCTCAAAAAACAAAACAGAACAAAACACCTCCTAGGAGAAGAAAAAAAAACACCTCCTGGAAGAAGAATAAGAGGAAGCTTCTTTTAAAAATCTTTTTAAAAATCATTTAATTTTATTTATTATTATTACTATCTAATTTGACTGGGGGTCAGGGGCAGTGAGCTGCCAGTTCCTGGACTCGATCTACAGTCAGCCATGTGAGAGTCCAGCGCGTTAACCACTACACCACCTGCCAATACCAGGAAGGGAACTTATGCTCAAGAGATGGGGTTGTTAAATCCTCTTCAGCAGTCCTCAAAAAGGCCCACAAATGGGGTGGAGGAAGGTGAGGCAAAAGAGGTGGCAGAGGCCACATCACAAGTGGCTTCTGCAGGCACGGTCTGAAGACAGGCATGGTCTCTCCAGCAGGAAGCTGGTGTCTGTAAGGAGCAGAGGGGTGATGTGCTCAGAGCCAGTGTGAAGGCAGAGGTGGGGAAACAAGCTCAGAGTTATAGCCTCTTTGTGCTCTAAGAAAATGACTGCAATGCATTGGGGAGCAAGGACATCTATAAAAATCAGCTGTATCAATACTAATTTCATTTTGTGTAAGTTTTATTTATTTCTTCTGTGTAAGAGAGTAGGAAAAAGAGGGGGAGACAGACACTCCTAGCACAGTCTTTTTTTTTTTTTTTTTTTGGGAGGGTTTTTCTAAAAAGCAATTAGGTTTTTGCTATAGGACATGTGTACACACCAGAAAGACAGAGAGACAGAAAGCGAGAAATCACCCCCTATGGGGGATGGCTATGCCGCAATCCCTTCTCCTCCAGTCTCCTTTCGGGATCTTGGGCATGCATGCACACGCACCCGGTGTGAAAGCCACCAGGTCCAAGACTCAAACCATGGTCGACAACGTGGGAGTCCAGCGACATAACCATTATGCCAACTGCAGGTCCCGCCCTGCACGGTCTTAACACCATGATCCATGCCAAATCAGCCCAGATCCCAGGGAAGAGTATGTGTCCAGCCTGGATAGGCGATCTGAGGACATGGACCCAAGACTGTCCCTCAGGGCCTCAGTGCTGTGCCACGTAGCTGATCAGTATCAGTTTCTAAGTGTCCCTGCCTGAGTGCTGGCATTTCTCCCTGGGCTATGGTGACTTCTGCTCTTGCACCGCCACACAGTCTTCTTCCTGCCAGCTTACCCGCAGCTAGCTAGAACCTCACCTCCCACTAGAGTCTCTGGCCCACACTGTTGTCATTTCTTCACTGGACTCCGGAGGGCCAGGACCCTCAGGGAGAACCTGGTCAACCACCCTCAATGTGATCTTAGGGCCTATCCTTAACTTTGTCAAGCCCCGCGTTTTTGTTTGTTTGTTTGTTTGTTTTGTTTGGATGTATCTCATTGCTTTTTTAGAAGCTTATCTGATGCATCAAATTTTTTTTGGAGAGTTTTTGTTGTTGTTTTTTTTTTAATTTATTTTTTGCTACAGGGCGTGTGCGCTCGCAAGACA